TTTTGTTCAATAAATATACTGTCATTAAAATATGTTAATATAAAAAATATATTTTAAAATACAGAAACAAAATGATTTTAATAAGTAAATATTCTGAAAGTATTGAAGGAGATCCCATAATAATTGAATATATATTTACAGTAGTAACAACAAATTATATTTTATTATATGATATGATTAATATCATGTTTTTAAATATGATGGTTTAATTCTAAAAATGGTGATTATCTCTAATATGGACACCCAACATAATATGATATTTACCATCTGAATCTAACCATGTCATGTCAACAAATGGAAAAGTCAGCCATCTATTAATTATCATGTTAATTACTGTGCGCCTTTAGCCCCAACAGCAGGGGTGCTTTTTACCCCAAATACCATACTTTTACATATTCTTTCGTTATTTAAAAACTGTTGCTTTAATTATCTTAAACAAAACTGAAAATCATAAAGATGACCTTTGTCTCAAAATGTATGCATTAATTTTACAGATTCTCTTTTGCTACTTAAATCTACAACATTTTTAAAAACATAAAATATTAGATCAGGTAAGCACAGAATCAACTTTGAACTGCAGCGAGTGCCTTTTTACCCCGGGGTGCCTTTAGCCCCGTTGTACGTGATCGCGTCAAGGATCAGACAAATATACACATGCATCTTGAAAAGCGGATGTTTTGGAAAGTGATACGCCACGTTTTTCTGCCATCTAGTGGTTTAGATGAAAATAATATCAAAGACGCCTTTAGCCCCGTTGTACCCTATAATAAATAATATTTTAATCACAATGCATTGAACTAAGGTCACTCTTTGAGAAGACTGTAAGATCATAAAGTGTTAGACGTTTTCCCAGACGTTCTGGATGAAATCCTCTTCACCGTGTGTTGTGTAAGAGCTGGTGACGCAGACGCTGGATTGGAACAGAAATATCAGTGACTCAGAAACGCCTTATTTTCAGAACGATGGATTCTCTTCTTATCACTGGAATTGGATCCTCCTGCTTTGTGCTGATAATCATGGGAACGTTTCCTCCGCTCTCCTGTTTCTGAGGCTGTACACAGCAGTAATCAGATGTTCAGACTGACGGTTAGCATAGCGGCTAGCTGAGTCAGTCTGGCGGGAAACACCGGCTAATCAACATGACTAACTGAAACACAGAGGCTCTGAACACACCCAGAGAATCCAGCTGCTTCCCCAGCTCTTCTGCTTTTACTAACAGTCTTCAGGTTTAAGTCACTTTAATTAGAAATGGTCTTAAATATTTTATTTTCATACATCTACAAAGGTATAGTTTGCAAACCTACCTCAGACATAAAATAAAATAAGATAGATAGATATAGATAGTTAGATGATTATGGTTGGTCTTTCTTTCTCTCTCTCTCTCTCTCTCTCAGTTTTTTTCCCACACATCAGCAGCATTTGCTGTAGCTCCAGTGAATGGAAAACAGGTGCGTTTCCTCTGGATGTGTTGCACAAGAATGTTTGCAGCCACGCCTGTGTTAATCAGGACTTCAGCTCGTTAGAGCTCTGAGAAAACACTGAGCTCAGCCTTTACATGCACAGAGGTCAAAGGTCAAGAGCTGATGCTGACCATTCATGATCAGATCAGAACCTGTGGAGAATAGACTGATGTGTGATTCTGATTCTGAGCAGAGCTGAACTGGTGTGTGTGTGTGTGTGTGTGTGTGCAGGGCTCAATCCAGCAGCTGCTGCTGACGCCGAATCCCAGCGCTCCGAATGAACAGTGTGAGGAGGACGATCCATACGTGAGTGTCAGCAGATCCATCTGCAGATTCACTTATACAACATACACTTACACAAGAGAGACACATCACTTTACATCCATAGGTCAAATATAATATATGAAGCATTTTTGATCATCAACCTCAGAAAGTCATGTTAAATATATGCATATTTATGTAAAAAATATTTTAAGCATAACTTATTTCAGAGATGCAAAATACACTATGTTGCATCTCTGAAATAAATTATGCTTCAAATATTTTGTTACATAGATCAATCAAGAGAGGAACCAGACATTTGATGTGTTTAAAGCTGCTAGCGTTCATGAAGTAACAGAGGAGTTTGTGCCACTAATACTGTGTGAAGCAGCGAGTCCTCAGACTGAGAGAGACTCACTGCGGCGGTACAGTAGAGTACAGTAGAGTACAGTAGAGTACAGTAGACTAACAGTCCTCTAGTGGCCGCAGTGCGTCATTACAGCTCAGCGGTTTACTGTAAAGCTGTTGTTTCATTCAGGGATTTAGTTTCAAATGCTTTACATAGTACTTGTGTTGTGAAATGAGTTTTATTTGTGTGTTTTATGTATTTTTTATGTTATTTTAACACTGCTGTTTATGGTATTGTTTTAGTTTTACGGCATTTGTTGGTCTGTTCTTGTGGTTTTGACTGTGCTGTTCTAAATGAGAGCGAGTTGAGTTTGATTGTGTGTCTCCAGACTACACAAACACACACACACACACACACACACACACACTCACTCACACACTCACACACACACACACACACTCACAAACTCACTCACACACACACACTCAACTCACACACTCACACACACACACATTCACACACTCACTCACACACACACACACTCAACTCACACACACACACACACACACACACACACACACACACACACACACACACACCCACACACACACACACACACACACACA